AATGAGGGGAATGTATTCGTGAGTCTACATTATCATGGAGATCCTTCATATCATGAATCATAAGTCTTGGATTCATAATTCAAATTATAGAAAGAGTTAAGAGAACAATTAAAGAAAGTATTTGAGTTATATCATAAATCCTTTGAGATCAACTGTCGATTTGAGCTATGTTTTTAGGAAGTTAGTATGAGAATGAGAAGAGTCGTATACATGGGTTCCATATTGTTATGCAGACCCTTGAGCACTTGAGTTTGAGAAAGAGTAGAGTTAGTTTATTTTTTTCAAAATGAATATATGGGAACTATGTATTCCCAAGAGTAAATGTTTTCACATTTAAAGGAGGAGGAAACTAAGATTTCCAAAAGAATTTTGAGCAGTTTGAGTATCATCTCTTTTAAGAGAGATTTTTGAGTAATAATATCAAAACACATAAAGAGTTGTGTATTTTTAAACATATGAGCTAGATATATTTTGGGAGTAATATTGAGCAACGATATGAGGGAGAGTTCTAACAACTCACATCCCCCATAAACCATGTAGCCAACGTGGTAGAAAGGGTCATACTTTTTAGATGATTCCTTAATACTTTTAGCATGGACTAGTGGATCCACTTAATAGTAGGTTCTATACCTCGGCAAAGTATAGGCCAGTTCTGGCAGTGTGGGCTAGACGTTGTATCATTACATAGCTCATAGTGATGGTTGCCCGTTAGAGAACTCCCACAGAGTTATATTGTATTTTTATATACAAATTGAGTTATTATTGTATTCTTCAATATATAAAGTTGCTATCTACTGTTTTAAAACCTTTCCATATATTGCATCTTTTGATGTTGCTTTATCCTTGAGTAATCAGAGTTGAACTATGTTTCTCTAAGTTGAGTATCTTATTATTGAGTTGAGCCCTATTTTCTCTGAGTTGCCTTCAACTATGTTTCACTGAGTTGAGTATCTTATTATTGAGTTGAGACCTATTTTCTCTGAGTTGACTTGAACTATGTTTCACTGAGTTGAGTATCTTATTATTGAGTTGAGCCCTATTTTCTTTGAGTTGAGTTGAGTTGAGTGAGTTCAGAAGAGGTAAGTATGTTTCTTTTCGATTAGTTTAAGCTTATGTTTAAGCTTTAGAATTCCTCTTACAGGCTCGTACATTCCATGTACTGAGCCATTTGGCCTGCATCGTTTCATGATGTAGATACAGTATTCAGGATCATCAATAGGCATTTCGTTGGGGTCATGTGATATTCCAGTCTGCTTTGGTGAGCTTTCTTATATTCCGAAGGACTTCACCTTTATCTTACAATTAGTAGTTTTGAGATGTCGTTAGTCTTGTCCCGATATCCTTCTGTAATAGTAAAGGCTTCATAGATAGACAGAGTTGAGGAGTTTATGTATTTACTTTTATTTTGAGTATTGCACAGACTTATAAAAAGGTTGAGTATTTGAGTTTATTGAAATTAATTCAATTTTAAGCTTTTGTATGCTTGAGTTAGTCTTTCGCTTGAAGCCAGCCAGGATGAGGGTTCGCTTGGGGACCAACAATGGTTATCGAGTGTCGGCCACGTCCAGGTTGTAGGCTCGGGTCGTGACATGTTGGGACACCACTGAAATGAAATCGAAAGGAGCTAGAGTCATAATGGAAAGAATTAGTGGGATTTAGTATAGCCTTCGAAAGGAGGACAGAGCAATGATCTCATTTCAAGGGCCAAAAATAAATCTTCAGAGGGAGTGCAGAAGAATTGGGTTCAGCGACATATGTTTCCATCTCTTTTTCTCTTGTTAAGGTGATAATATTATGTGTCATTCATATGGGTTAAAAAACTATTAGATAAGATTTGAGAAAGAAGTCTACAGATGTTCGGGTCGAGTGTGGTGATAAGTTCTTTTGTAATTTCGAGTTGGTAAATGGTATGGTTAAAATCCAAATTTAGGTCTTTCATTGTAAGTTTATGTTTGTGGTAGTATGTTTGTCAAGGTGTGGATTGGTAAAGTAAGAAATGATAGATCACATTGAGTATTGAGTATTTCGAAGGACTTGTGCATGGATTTGATCGTAAAGTTTGTTTATTTTTATTGTTAAAGGACCTAAAAGAAAATTTTACTTAAAACTGTTGGTTCAGAGTATAAGGAAAAATGTCATGGGTTGTTAGTCAAAGGATAAGATTAGTAAGCGAGTCAGTGAAAAGAGCAAGAGTCTCGTGTATTGAGAAGTTCAAGATATTTAAAATTTGCGTCAAGGGAAGAATTTAAGAAAAGTGAAAGAATATAACCTCTCGTACAAACCCTTTGTTTGTAGTTCAAGCTTGTATTGACTTTTGCGTATGAGCTCACACATGACTGTGAGATGTGAACTGGTTCGGCACAGACTTACTAGGGGTTTATCATCGATTTTTATGAAGATTGAGTTTTTGTTTGGGTGACAAAAATGATGTGTGGAAGATTCTATATGGTTATGTCGGACTAGATTTTTCAAATTATGGTAGGTAACTTATGGATGTGCAACAGTATAGACCTACGGTTCTACATGGTTAATAAGGATTTCGAGGAGATTGAAACTACTTTGTTGATGGAACTATGCAAACTATCGTGATGTGTTATATAAGAACTTGATGGTAAATAGGGATTATATGCTCATACTATACAAAATTATCGGGGGTGACCAGAATTTCATTAAGTTTTGGAATGAGGTATATGATGGTTTGAATGGTAATTGAAACTTGGTTTGTGAATGATTTCGTGGAGTTGACACTGAACGTGATTCAATAGTTTTGTCTTGATGAAAAAGTACTATCAAATTTAAAATTAGGGCTATCAGCCTTGGATGGGACCCATATCTAACATGGGATGCTTAAATGGAAAGAGAAGGAGCCATTGTTTGAATTTTTTGAAGGCGACAATGTGTTTTCTAAGAAAGCTTTGATACGAGTCATGACGATTTGAGAGTAAGGTAAATGGTCGGTATGGTTATGAGATTTGTTAGTATTAAGAGTGTTGGCTTTAGTGTTGTACTGTGAGAAGTATGTAGGGTTTTAATAAATCCAGTATGTGTAAGATTGTAAAAAGGACCAAATCGGTTGATTACAGGTGGCTAAAAATAAAAGAGATAGAGACAGATGAATGGAAGTGTTTGATATAGGCACTATGGAATGAGTATCTTTTGTTATTCAACCTTGGTTCTGTAAATTTTTATGTGACCATCTTCCTCGGTTTGGACATTATTTGGAGTATGATTTACTGCGTATGCCACACATGTTTCCATATCTATAGGTGAATCCCCAGTGGTGGATCAGGTGTACTGATCCTACGATTGTCCTCATGGTAGGGCGGCATCCTTGGGATACTTCATTTCAATTATGAAAGATTTGGTGTTGTTTGAGATAGTTGAAGTATACTGGTGATTCTACATGCACAACATTGCTTATGAGAACTTATAAAAGAGCTACAATGAATAGATATATATTTTCAATAGTTTTAGTATACATGTCATAGTCGAGGTCACGTTTCTTCTATGTGTGATTGAATGTGGTGGGTCATTGGATCTATTTCTAATGTTCTTAAGGGTTGTTTCTAATCACAACTACCGGCCTAGCATTTCGATCGTGTTGGTAGAAGTTCTACATTCTCGAGTGTACCGCTTGTTGGGTGGTTACTTGATCTTGTCTTCTTTGGGTCAGATCTGTTTGATTCTCACTTGATGAGTACCTGATGTCAAAATATTAAATGTTTATAACTTAAGCTCGTGGAAAGATTATGTTGTGTGAATGGAATCTCTATAAGATCAGTGATAATTTGTGCATTATGAGTGTTTGGTGGTTTGTTTAGGTTCACTTATGATTGTAGCCAGTATTGAATCAGAATGTTATTGTGGGTTAGGTGAGAAAAGATTCATCCTGATAATTGTGTTACGGTCCTGTGGGTTTCGATTCAGATTGGGTTCACAGGTTAGTCTACGGATTGGTAATCACCGCTGATTTGTAATTTTAGTTCGAAATTTAAGTTCTTACTAGTTGATCTTGATGAGATGGTCTTAAGGAGGATCTTACTTTGAGAGATGAATACATAGTCTGAAAAATCATAACTCAGGCTTTTGGTAACGTCGATTATTCTTCCTTCTTCTTCATTCTGTTAGAGGACGAACATGGTTTTTTGTGGTGGATAATGTAATGATCCGGAAGGTCATTTATGGAAATTTTCAGTAGGTTACCATTTTACCCCTTCCGATAGTTGGCCCAGTCGTTTCTGATCAATTTATGAAATTGGTTTGGGAATTTTGAACTATTCGTTTAACTATAGTTAATTAATTGACCACTAGTTTTTAACATTCCGTTTAATTTGTGGCCAATGGACTAACCCATAGTTTATTTTATACCACTTGAACCATATTTATTAGAATAATTTGTTAGGGTTTGTCACTTTTAATACATAATTATTTTATTTAGAAAAGAAATAGATATAAAAAAATTGAATAGGCGAGGGGGAGTTGGACGACTGGCAAAGGGGAGGCGCACACATCTTCAGGTCAAAGCAAAGTGAAGCTCAAACTCTTTTTCTTTATATGAAATTAGGATATGACATTTACATTAGTATAATAATGTTATTAATTTGGGGGGGGGGGGGGGGAGGGGGTGAATGTAGAACTTAAGATATAATAAGGTCAAATAAAAAATATAACTAGGGGAGTCTTAGAAATAGTTTCTAGAGAATAAGAACAATGGACTGATCTTGTATTCAGTCTGTTAATGATATTATATAGAATTACAACTTTAATAGAGTCACAATCCCACTATACAACTAACTAATCCACTAACCGAACTCTCCTAAGCTTTAGGAACACATTTCTGCAATATTACAAAATAGGAAAAACTATCAGAATTAAAAGAAAACAAATACCAACTGAAAGTTAAAATATAGCCATACTATAGACTTAGTGAAATTAAACTAGTAATGATGTTGTCAACTTTAACACCCCTTCTCAACATCAGCTCTTTGTCTTAACCAAGCCTAGCTGCTTGCAGAAACTCTGCAACTTGTTGACACTAAAACCTTTGGTGAACAAGTGTGCAATTTGATGTTCTGTTTTGATGTGCTCCAAACCAATCTCTCCTTACAAAACTTTTTCCCGAATAAAGTGGTAATGTATCTCCACATGTTTAGTCCTTGCATGGAAAACTGGATTTTCAGCCACATAAATTGCTGACTGATTAACACAGTACAAAGGAACTACATAGCATACTAGTTGTCTTAGATCCTTCATCAACTCCATAAGCCATGTACATTCCTGAGCTGCAACTGCTATTGCCCGATACTCTACCTCTGTTGTTGAGAGTGACACGGTTGCCTACCTTTTGTTGCACCAAGAAATTGCTCCAGTTCCAAACTTAAACACAAAACAAGTAGTTGAACGACGGGTATTATGGTCTCTTCCATAGTCAGAGTCACAATATCCGATCAGTTTGCATTCTTCACCTTTCTTATACAAGAGACCATAGTCAATTGTACTCTTTACATATCTCAAGATTCGACGAACTCCATCCAAATGAGACTTCTTTGGATTTTGCATGTAACGACTCATCACACCTACTGCATAAGAGATGTTGGGTCTTATTAAAGTTATGTAAATCAAACTACCCACCAATTGCCGATACATTGTTGCATATTCCAAGTCTTTCCCTTCATGAGCACACATCTTAACATTTGGATCCAGCGGTGTTGAGGTTGGTTTGCAATTGAACATCCCAAACTTCTTCAATACATCTTTGGAGTACTTCTGCTGATGCAAGAAACTTCCTTCTTCACTGCGATCAACCTCCAAGCCAAGAAAATGGTTAAGATGTTTGAGTTCCTTCATCTAGAAGCGTACTGACAAAATCTCCTTTGTTCTGAGAATTTCTTCTTCACAGTCTCTTGTTAGGATTAGATCATCCACATATACTAGCACAATAGCTAGTTTTCTGCTAACAATTTTCACAAACAGGTTGGAATCTGACGGTGCAATTGAAAAACCACTATGAGTAAGAAATTCAGAAATCTTACCATACCATGCCCTTGGCGCTTGCTTTAATCCATAGAGCGCCTTCCGAAGCTTACACACATACTCAGGATAATCATGACATTGAAAACCCATTGGATGACATATGTAAATCTCTCGATCCAACTCTCCGTGCTCTGCATTCTTTATATCCATCTGCCAGAAGTTCCAATCTTTACTAGCTGCAAGTGCAAGTAAAACTCGGAAAATAGTAAGCTTTTCCACTGGACTAAACATTTCATCATAGTCTAGTCCATATTGTTGAGAAAAACTCTGAGCTACAAGATGAGCTTTGCCCCTTTCAATTGATCCATTTGTATGACGCTTTATCTTGTAAATCTATTTATAGGAAATAGGTTTGGCATCCCTTGGTTTTGTCACGAGCTCCCACGTTTGATTCAGTTGTAGCACAGTAATTTCCTCCTCCATAAGCTTTAATCAACTATGGATTCTAGAATGCTTCCTTAAAAGTTTCTGGTTCCTTTTAATTTTCATATTTTGCAATGGCAGCATTGGCAAAATTAGGATTTTTCTTTCTGATTCTTATTGACCTTCTGAGTTAAGGTGGTGAATCTGCTCCAATTAGCTCAGCCTCTTCACCTGGTTATTGGTATATACCAGTTTGCCACGGATTTTGAGTCACGTCTTCATCAACATTGTTTTCATTAGCTTCACCTTCAGCTCTATCTAGACTCAATTGGATATGGGAAGAGTCCAACACATCTTTTAAGACATTTGAATTTGACAGTGGTTCCTTATTTGCAGACCACCAGGAAGAAGCTTCATCAAATATCACATTTTGAGAAGTGTAGCACTTTCCTGTTGTTTGATCACAACATCGCCACCCTTTTTGTTGAGTGTCATAAAGATACACCTAACAACCTTTTTGTCCATCTTGCTACGTAAATGATTTGGTACAAATACATAGCATACACATTCGAAAACACAAAAATAGCTAACAGAGGATTTCATGTTCCACAACTTCTCAAAAGGTAAAAGAAAATGTAACCTTTGTTGAGGAAGTCTATTGATCACAAAAGTTGTAGTCTTCATATCTTCCGCCCAAAATTGTCCTGGGATAGTTTTTGCGTGAAGGAGGCTCCGACAGATTTCTGCTAGGTGTCTGTTCTTTCTTTCTACTATGCCATTTTGTTGTGGCATATTTGGACATGTGAACTGATGGCGTATTCGACACTTTTCAAGAAATTCAGAAAATTCATATGAGGAATATTCCCCAACATTGTCAGTTCGCAAACAAAGAATTTTCTTATCAACTTCTCCTTCAACAACCTTTTTGAATTCTTTAAATTTGAAAATACCTCAGACTTCTCCTTTAAAAAATAAATCCACACGTACCTGGAAAAATCATCAATGAATGTCAACATATATTTCATCCCACCAACAAAGAGTTGCTTGACAGGGCCGAACACATTTGAGTGAACTAACTCTAATGGTTCCTTGGTTATATATTTTGAATCCTGATATGGCAACTGATGCGCTTTACCATACTGACAACCTGCACATATTACATCCGTCATTAGTGAAAGTTTGGGAAAACCCTCAACATTGACTTTTCCATCATGACTCTAAGTTTAGAGTAGTTAACGTGACTCAACCACATATGCCATAAGTCTACCATCTCATTCTTCTTTGTCTTGTCTATATATGTTGTTTCTGCCGACATTACATAAATAGAATTTAACCTTTTCCCCTTCATTACTGGTTGTTCTTTAACCTCAAGACATTGGTATATTCTTACATCTTGCGGACCAAATAGAACACAATGACCCGAAGATGTCAATTGAGCTACTGAAAGAAGATTTTTCTTCATACCTGGGACATGATAAATATTTTGAAGAAGCATCAGATCAACACAAATATTTGGGGACACAATAGTCTTACCAATGTGAGCTATCAGTAATTTTGTGTCATTAGATGTCATTATTTCATGACTTCCCTTGTACTCAGACAAATTTTGCATCTTCTTTTAGTCACCAGTCATATGGTTTGAGCATCCCGAGTCAATAATTCAGTCATTCTCATAGTCAATTTGCTTAGAGGTTGTAACTGTAAGAGCTAACTCCTCTTGTTCTACCGCAAAGAACGCTTCAGCATCCCAATCATCTTCACTATTTTCCTTTGGACCGGAGGTAGCAGCAATTTTGCTCTCAACAATCCTCTTTTTGAACCAGAAAATATTGGCTTTATGTCCCTTCTTCCAACAGTTATGGCATTGCCCTACAAACCTCTTATTGTTTACCCTATTATTCCTCGAACTTCCCCTGGATGAGAGCTTCCTTCTCCTTGATGACTTTTTGACTTATCATCAGTTCTTTTTAATCCACCGGCGTTGTACTGCTTGGGGTTCCCTTTGCTTTTGTTGACGTAGAGTGCTTCCTCCTCGCCTTTAAGAGAGACTCCGCTCATTTGCTTAACCAAGGCTTGCTGACCTGCTAGAAAATTCTCAAATTCTACAAGTGGTGGCTGATTTTGCCATCCTTGTACAACAACAATGAAGCTTCTATATTCAGGCTTCAGACCATGGATGATAATCCGCTTCATCCTCATATCTCCAATTGGAACTTGTGGATCTAACTCTGAAATCTTTCGACATAGCATCTTCACCTTATGAAACTATTTTGTCATGGTGCATTGTCCTATCGAGAGTAATTCACTCTCTAGGAATTGGAGCCTTGTATTAATTTTCTTTGAAAATAGCTTGGCAAATGTATCCCAAGCCTGCTTTGGGGTGGTGGCGTCTCGTAAGTGCTCTAGCACATCCTCTTGAGTCATTGTTTTCAAAGAGAACATAGCCTAACCAGCTTTTATCTTCCACTTTCGCATAGTGTCATTTGAATCTTCTACTGTTGGTTGTGCCACCTCGCTACCATTGACAACCTCCCATAGATCTTGCCATTGTATATAAGAAATTATGCAAGTTGACGATGTATTGTAATTGCTGTTGTTGAGATTTTTCATTTTGCCGACTGCTTGTAGGTCTGTCATTGTGTCAACAACAAAAGTCTCAAGAAAAAACTACAGTAAATGATCTCCCAAGGAAAAACCTTGATCTTGATACCAAATGTAGAACTTTAGATATAATAAGCTCAAATAAAAAATATAACTGGGGAGTCTAAGAAATAGTTTCCAAAGAATAAGAACAATGGACTGGTACTGATTTCAATCAGTTAATGATCTTATATAGAATTATAACTTTAATAGAGTCACATTCCTACTAAACCACTAACTAATCCACTAACCTAACTCTCCTAAACTTTAGGAACACATTTCTGCAATACTACGAAATAGGAAAAACTATCAAAGTTAAAAGAAAACAAATACCAACTGAAAGCTAAATATAGCCATACTACAGACTTAGTCAAATCAAACTAGGAATGATTTTGTCAACTTTAACAGGGTGAATGTCATTATGTGTTTGTTGATGTTGTTTTGCCAAAAATAAGACAAAATTATTTGTGGTGATCAATAAGATAATGGTGATAAATAGTGAATAGGGATTAATGATACCAATGATTGGCGAATCATTAGGATAATTGATTATGATGTTTATTTTTGTTTAAAATATGCTAATTTGCAAGCTAAATTCCTGGTCCAAGGATCCTAACGGCCTAATCCAAATTTATGTCAGAAATTTTCTTAAACTTATCACATTATGATTCAAGTTTTGATATATTTAGATAGATAATTAATTATTAGATGTATTGTATTATATGAATAATATTAGATTTATGACATTTGGAGGAATTGAGACTTAACCCTAAGCTTGAAATTAGGAAATATGAGGCTTGACATGTTAATTAGCATCAACATTAGGAACTTGATTATAGATTTTGGTGGGTTTTTGAATCTAGGCTAGACATATAGTAATATGGGTGTTGCTAGTTTTGAAATTTTACTATGATTATTTATTTGAATAGATTGCATTAATTTGCAAGCCCAACAAATGGGGAAAGCTCAAGTCTCAGAGTGATTGTTCAATTATTTGAGGCAAAAGGATTTCTCAACCCTTGTTAAGTGTATAGAATCGCGTATTTCCTTGTGGTATGTGTTGGGGAGTAATGAGACTTGGTGATGGGTTGCCTTGTCCGTATTGAATAATTCTAATGATGAAAAAGGGGTTATAAAAGGCAATGTGATTAATTATTGTTGTGTGATGTGTTAAGAATGGTTTGAAAGGGTTATTGATTCATTGTTGATGTTGTATCATGATTGTGATATTGTTAATTGTGCATTATTATTTATGAAAATTGTCATCTCCTCATTATTTGTGTAAACATGTCATTTGCATTGGTTCTGAAAATGGTTGTGACAAGTGTTATGTGAATTGACGAAGGATAAGAAATTGAAGAGGATGTATCATTTCGAGGGACGTGTCATGTGCCGTGAAGGATATTATGATTCGAGGGAGGTGTTGCACATTGCGACATATTCTATTATCTATGGACGTGTCACATGTCGTGACTGATTTTATTATCAAGGGTCATATCATACGCTGCGATGGATGCATGAACAAGTATGTCCCCCATGGGTCTCGGACTGAGAGACAACATGTGTATATCACTAGGTAAGACATGCATTGCTATACTTGACATTAGATGTAATTGTAATGCATATGTTTATTATTTGTGAACTTCTGAGTGCCTTCCTGTGAAACTTGTGATTGGTGAACTTGATCTCAGGCATTGTTGATCTGAAATTGTCGAAGTGTTGTTATTGAGGTATGTGTTGTATTATTTGTGAATGATTAGGTTGGACTAATTTAATGTAGGTTGTAGTTGTGGAGGTTCAGTTAGGATGGT